ACACGTTGCCAAGGTAATGGATTAAATCCTCCCAGGATGAAACGGAATAAACCTTCCTGCAACAGTGGCAATACAAACTGCAGGATACGAACGAACTCAAAGAACGAAGCAAAATCACACTTACAAAATTTAGAAGAGATTCTGCGAAATAGAATGCAGGATTTTCAGAAGGAAGGAAGTTCTGTAATTTTTCAGTGTCGAAAATGCAGCCATGCCTCAGAATTTATAGGCAATTATCGGAAGAGGTGTGATGTCTGTTCAGGAGAAGTGTCTGTTCAGAAGGGAAAAATTAACGTTCAGCATTTTTTGGATTTCAGATTTCAGTTAATTTCGTTAATTAACTGACTGGCTTTTAATTAATTATTAAATAATTAATTAAATAAATTTTGTCCAAAAAATAATCTTATCGATCAATTGACAAATCCAAATCTAAATCCAAATCCAAATCCAAATCCAAAGCCGAAGCCGAAGCCGAGCCGAGCGAGCGACGACGACGACGGCGCGAGGGTTCATTCTCTTCAACTCCTTTTAAGAGCTCTAAGAAGTGATCCTATATATATACACACAAATGTAGTTGTCCCTCACCAACGAGGGACAAAGTTCAAGACAAAAGATCACTTCATTCAAATTTTCATTTCCCTCCATTTTATTTCCCACCATTTCCAATTCACACTCTTAGACTTTTAAAGCCCAATGCTTAAAGTCTTTAAAGCCCAATGCTTAAAGTCCAACATAACATAGTAGATACTTTTAAGTTATGACTATGTTACTTATTTCTCCAAATTGATATAAACCACAGATTTCAAAATTCAATTCTAAAGGTAGTATGATTGACGTAGACTTCTGATTAATTTGAAGGTCTAAATGTTATGGAGTAGATCTAACTGCGTTTGCTGCTTATGCCCTTGAATGGGGATGGCAAACATGATTCTAATAAAGTTTCGTTGTTCTTGCTTTAGCGATCTTCTTTTCATTTTCAGGGAATATTGGAACAAGGAACATATCATCGCATCTGCACTCCTTTATTTGAGTACGTACTCTCCGTTTATTACTAAATCATCTTCAAGAAAACCTTTCTTAATATACTTTTGTTACCACGTCAGTCCTAAAGTTCGAGATTGCATTTTTTTTTAGCCTTAAGGGTAGGTTTCTACACGAATTATCTTAAACAAGAGTCTTTGTTTAAAGTCCTAAATTCCTAGATAAGGTGAAAATATGAAGAAAAAATATGATTTACAGAAGTTTTCTTTGTAATGCTTCTTGCGGATCTGACAAATTTATTCTTTTGTTTGTGAGCACCAAAAATATACATGTGACTGAGCAATGAAAATATTAGTAACTCGAACAAGTTTAGTAAGAGGCTAAAATTTAAGTCACATTGTAAATTTTAGTCCTTTAATATTAGTTAACAAAAATAACGTCATTTTAAATTTGTATTATATTTTTTTACTTATTTTTATTAATGACATCAGCTGCTGGTTAAAGCTTTTAAAGTAGGTAAAGATCCAAACAATATTTTTTCTAATCATGTAGAAAAGTGAGGATTTCTCTGAACCAAATAGAAGCTACTATATTTGTATATGGTGGAAATCAGGGCTATCCGATTTCATATTTGTATATGGTGGAAAAAAGAGATATCACGTCGAAAGGCCAGGACATCGAGTCCGGGATCGGAGTTTCTTTCCAAGATCGAGGTCGACTTTTTATTACTAACCGAGGTGAGAAGAGAGCATACTTCGAAATGATGCCGGTATAGTTCGGTAATGGAAAGGGCGAGATATCCGCAATGGGTCGAAGATCGTGGCGTGAATTTCTGAATGGATTGATCTTCGGCGGTTAATCAGTTGTCAAATATGATTTCCTACTATTATTAGAATTGTACCTTATTTAGAACTCATCTATTATATAAAGTGGGATCCCATTCATTTGTAAGCATCATTGTTCACTGATAAGAATACAAACATTCATTACTTTCTTGCTATTTCGCTTACTATTCATCAGAGTTGCTTATCATTTGCTATTCCTATTATCACACCTCGAGACTACCACAGGTCGAGGTCAAAATTTGGCTAGCATACCGGTTTGATTTATTTTATTCTACAATTTATCTATTTAATTCCTTGTTTATCAATTGGCATTGGATTAAATCACATATCCTTGAAATCACAATATAAGTTTAATTGTTACTCGAATTTTAGGGTAAAAAGTTTGGCGCCCACTGTGGGGCTAAGGTTAATAGTGATTGTTCAGTGCTGATTCTGATAACACACATTACTTCACGCTTGTTCTTTCCAAGTATTTTTGCTCTCAGGTTAAAACATTTCAAACTCACAAAACGCACCCACACATGGTGATGATGGTCTCGGGTTTCACGGGGAAAACGATAATGTAATTGCTCCAGGAGCCAGGGTGCCACCGGCTAATCTCGGGGGAGCACCGGTTGCCGATCCAGCCGATGTCAGTTCACACGTTGCTCTAAATGCGGACCTAGGCGCGGACCCCGAAGGGAGTGTATGCAGGGAAGGCCGATCTGGTGGTCAAGGTACATAGGGCAGAGGAGACGGAGGAGTTAGTCTCCAGGTGATATTCGAGATGCTACAGGTTTGGGTTCTATGACCATGTGTACCATGATACTTGCATATCAGGTTTGGGTTCCTTTGAGAAAGATCGGTTTGTATAGGCCTGGGCCACTTGGTGTCTTTGATTCTTCCAATAGCTGACACAATTTCCGACGCGTCTATGCTGAAGTTATACTCCGACAATTGAGGTGCCTCTACGGGGTCGGTATGCTTATCGAACCCGCTCTTACTCATGAGTCCTCGAGAACTTTGACCTCGATCGTTTCTTCGATCATTTCTAGGGGTGTTTCGACTCGATCCGTTGTTTCTTCGATCGACATACGGCTGATACCGATCCTTGTTTGACCTTGATTCCCTGTCTATATCCCTCGGGGGTTTGGCTGCGAATCTGTTAGGATGAACTGAACCCGAGGGGGCTCCCAACTGGTCATCCTCGACCCTGATTTTTGATTGATAACGGTTGTGCACATCTGATCACGTCAAAGCTGGATACTCAATCAGATTCTGCTTTAACTGTCAGGACGCGATCGAGCTCCTTTCATTCAAACCCTGCATGAAACCTTGTACTGCCCAGTCATCCGAGACCGGTGGTAACTCCATTCGCTCCATCTGGAACCTGGACACGAACTCCCTCAACATCTCGTCGTTCCTTTTTTTTTTATCTTGAAGACTTCCGATTTTCTCGTGGCCACCTTTATGGCCCCAACGTGTGCTTTCACGAAGGCGTATGCTAACATAGCAAATGAATCAATAGAGTTAGGAGGTAAGTTGTGATACCAAATCATAGCTCCTTTCGACAATGTTTCTTCAAAAATTTTCAACAAGACTGATTCGATCTCATCGTCATTCAAATCATTTCCTTTGATCCCGCAGGTGTATGAGGTAATATGCTCGTTAGGGTCGGTTGTTCCGTTATATTTGGGTATATCGGGCATACGAAACTTTTTAGGAATAGGCATCGGAGCCGCGCTCGCGCTCTGAGGGAATGGTTCTTGTATGAACTTTTTGGCATCTAATCCTTTCAAAACTGGAGGTGCTCCCGGTATTTGGTCGACACGGGAGTTATAAGTTTCCACCTTTTTGTCATTGTCTTCAATCTTCTTTTCTCCGAAATCGATCCTCTTGGTGAGCTCTTCGAGAATCTTCATAATGGTGGGGTCAGTCCCCGAGTCATTTCCGTTTGACCTCTCTGTTGCTGGTTCAGCACGTCGAGTGTTTTCATGTTCAGCTACACTCGGAGTCTTATTTTGACTTTGAAGTTGAGCAATGGCAATCTGTTGAGCTTGCAACATCTCGAATATCACTTGGATGCCGATTCCCCTATCACTCACTCCTTGTGTTCCTTGGCCACCAGGTCGGGCTTCCCTGCGCACACTCCCTCCGGGGTCTGTGCCTAAATCCACGTTTAGAGCAATGTGTGAACTAACATCAACTGGTTCCATATTTGGCACTTTCCCAGGGTTTATTGGTGGTACACCGACCCCTATATTGTTATTTTCTCCAAGACCTTCGTTGTCATGAACATGTGCATTTTGTAAGCTAGACAAATTTCAGCCCGAGACTCAAAAATTCTTGACAAGAAAAAGTGTAAAAATAACGTGTGTAATGAGAATCAGTAAAGAAATAATCACTATTATCTTTAGCCCCACGGTGAGTGCTAAACTGTTTACCTCGAAAATACGAGTAACAATTAAAATTTGATTTGTGGTTTTAAAGATATGTGATTTAGTTCAATACTAATCAATAATCAAGGAATATGAAGTAGAAATGAAAGAAATAAGTTAATCAAACCAATGTTACTCAGCAGTGATGACCTCGATCTTAGTGACCTCGAGATGAAATAGGTACAATAAAATAAGAGCAGTAAAGAGAAAGGACAATTCTGATGAATAGTAAGTGAAAAGTAGAGAGTATATTCTCTTCCAATGATTAGTTGATGTTACAAATGATTGGGGTCCCCTTTATATAATAGGGGAACCCTAAATAAGGTACATTTCTATTTACAGTAAGGAATATTAATGGTACATCTGTCTAACCGCCTAGTACGGAATCGTACAATCCTATCCCGGGATTTGCGCCATGATCTTGGGGACGTGGCAGGAATCTAGCTCATTCTGTTATAAATCCATAACGGTACAATTTAGGGGTCGAGCATACTTAACTTCGGTATTCCTCGCACTCCTATCTTCGGGCATTGCATTCCGTCCTTGAGCTTGAGTCTAGTCCGTCGACCTCGAACTCAAGCTTACTTGAACTCGGGCCGAAGGCGATCCCTCGAGCCTGGGAAATTGGGCGTGCCTGATTTCGAGCGTATACAAAGGTTATCAAACCCAATAATCTTCAATGCTTCCAGAACACACAAGCATCTAGAAGTAAAATTGTTTCTCCTAACATGTTTTCTGATTTCTGCAGGTTCTGGAGATAGGGTAGCAAATTGCTACAGAGATATCAAGATGATATGGAGTTACAAAACATCATACTGCCGCAGGTTTTATTTGGCAGCATTTGCAAATAGAAAGCAGCAATCATCTCTGTGGTGCTGCTCGACTATACCTCCTAAAGAGCTAACTGATGCGTCACTCTGTTATACCTCTGCTGCCACTGCAGATGATACTAATGCTTCTGCTGTTATGCTTCACGACTACAATTGCTGCTGTACTTCTACTTGCCTTAAGGTATCTATCAATGGGTGTGTTGCTAACAGTAGTGAAAAAAGATGCAGCAAATATGGAGTATCAAACATCACTTTGTTATACTGCTTGACATTTAATCAGTCATGCTTCTTCTATTGCTACTGCTTATGTGATGCTGCTCAACTGGTTGAATTAGCATACATCATAGAAGATGTACTCTTTCACCAACAACATACACATCTTCAGAGGTCCCAGAGCACACGGGAAACTGGGTGAAGAAACTCTGCTACTAACTTGTTTGTTACATTTTTCAGGATATAGAGAGAAGTTACACAGCAATTGGATTTCAGCAGCACAAATCATATTGTGCTGCTACTTCTACAAGAACTGTTGCTGCACAAAACCTGTCAAATGCAATTGTTATCAAAAAGGTAGTAACTGTTGGAATCTCATCGAGTCAATACCCAGTGGTATTAGCATGTTACCATGCTCATTCTGGGTGTTGTTCGAGAAATTACATCAACTATGCTTCAACAAGGCAAATCTCAGGATGCAATAGGTGTGCAAAATTGGAAGAACTCACTACAAAGCTCTACATGGCAATAGAGTTTCATGGGACTGTTACACCTGCTATATTTATACTGGGAAACGGAGAGTCGTACCTAGCTGGCTTTGTATCAGATGCAAAGGAAGCTCAATGGTCAGATGCCCTTTGATGATTTTATCCAGCTGCTACTGTTGCAAATGCCACTACTGCTACTTTTATGCAGAAACTAGTGCTCCTACAGCTGATATTAATGGATTACTCGACTTGCCTCTTATAGAATTACATGTGGATCGACTCTATTATACTGCTGTAATCCGCGACTTGGAATGCTACTATACTTATCCAAGAATGCGAACTACCTGTTAGATCATGTTTTAATGATGCAAATAATATACATGTGCAGGAAATCAAGTTCAAGAAGTAAAGAAGACTGCTAGAATGATTCATGATGTACAAGGAAAGAAATCAATCAGCATGTGATCAGCAAATCTGGATTGGTCTCGTAAATCTGGGCGCAATCTAATCAACGAATCAATCAGCAATAACAATGATTAGCTGAGCTGGAAAAAATCAAATAAGCCTTGGACAAAGGCACGAATCATGGACAGAATCACGAAAGACTAAAGGATACGAGGAGATCTGGGAAGCGACCACATTTGGAAGATCCAACAATCAAGGAGAAATCAAGTGAAGCAATCCTCTGCTAAAGGAAAGCAATCAAGAGAAGCAACGGCTTATTCCTTAGTCTTGGAAAGAATCAATACTTTCCAAGGATCAAATATCTTGGGTTGTCAAGCCTCTACCATCCATCAAAGTATTTATACACCCTTGTAAACCCTAGCTTAGACATACTTTGATCAAACCAAATCACTGTCTTTATTCTACTGCAAACAAGCATTGTAGTTCAGTAAGATCTGATGTGTAACAAGTCAGGGATAGAAAGAGAGCACACAACTGGTAAGGCACTGTATCAAAAACGAGTGCTAGAGAAACTGAGCGATATACACCACATCTGTACTCGGAAGAAACTCATTTACTGAAGAGAACTCCATTGCAACCCAAGGGGACTGGATTAGGATTCACATTGAATCTGAACCAGTATAAAATCCCGGTTTTTTTAATTCCTGCAATTATTTTCTACATTTTACTTTCCGTTACCATATCTGCTAACTTATCATATTCAGCCGATTACTCAAGTTATAAGTCAACTTATAAGCAATTAATTTGAAGTATTTACAATTCACCCCCCCTCTTGTACTTTCAATTGGAATCAGAGCTTGGCTCACATTTTACCTTTTGCTTAACAGCTTGTGAGAAAAGATCATGGCAAATCAAGTTATCATAGGAGCTCTCTTTCAGGAAGGAACTTCACAAGTTAGACCACCATACTTCAATGGACAACATTTCTCTCACTGGAAAGTACGAATGGAAATCTTTGCTAAAGCATACGATGTCAAAGTCTGGAGAGTCATTAAAAAGGGAAACTATCCCCTACCTGCTAGCACTCCACCACTTGCTGATCCTGATGATATAGATTCATACTCAAAGGAGCAACTGGAAGCGATACAAGTGAATAACAAGGCAAGAAATCTGCTTCACAATGCTATAAGTGGTGAGGAATACGAGAAAATATCGAGTTGTGATACAGCCAAAGAGATGTGGGATAAACTTGAGGTCACCTATGAGGGAACCAGCAAAGTAAAGGAAACTCACATCAACATGCTAGTTCATGACTACGAACTCTTCTCAATGAAAGAAGGAGAATCCATTGAAGAAATGTTTGCCAGGTTTAGTAAGATAATTAGTGACNTAAGCTCGTGAAACACAGACCATTTTGGTATTTAAATCTTCTGCAAATCTTGCATTCACTCTCGTAACAGTCAAGCCCACTCTCTTAAGCGACGCAAACTTAAATTTCAACACATATATTTCACTTGCAAATGAGATCTTCTAACAGACAACATGAGGATCACACAACTTCAGAACACTCCGCATGAGATAACCCACCTGTTTTGCCTCAAACTAACATTTCTGTATACCTTTCACCGTCATAAACATTACGCAGTCGCTTGATCTTCCTGAGTCTGAACTCATACCGCAATATGAAATTTACTTCACTCCCAACTAGGAAACATGAAAAGGTTCTTCTATCCTCCAGCAGACCCTTCTCGTCGCTTCTAAATCATATGAATACATCTTGCAGTCACATCACACTCATCACGTAACTATCCAACCATCATTTCTACTAATAGGGGCATAACCGAATATATAAGTTCAAAAAAAACACGGCTCACATAATCAGCACCTCGGTGCTCAAGACATAGGTAAAAATCCGGCCTCAAGTCCTCCAGACTGGCCCAACGTCAAACACACAGAGATCACACCTCGCCCTTCGATCAGGGAATCACAAGCCATCGATGCACATCTGATACTGAGCGCTCGTTCGCGCATACGAATGTGTGGAAGGAGTTCAAAGAGTTATATTTCAAGCTGAATCAAGGACGCACGATAAGAATTTAAATAATATGGAGTTTTCCTAAAGGTTCTGCAGCCTCTCGAGGATAAATACAGACGTCTCCGTACCGATCTGCGAGACTCTACCAAACCTGCTCATGACTCGTGAGACCTATGTAGCCTAGGCTCCGATACCAACTTGTCACGACCCTAAACCCAAACCCGATCGTGATGGCGCCTCTCGTGAAGACAAGGCCAGCCGACACACTTCCAGTTCACCTTAAGCAGTTAAAATAATAAACCAAGGTCTTTAATATAAATAAATCCCAAAAATAGCAATATAAGTTGCGGAAATAAAATAAACCAACACAGCCCTACATCGGGGTGTCACTAGTCATGAGCATCTACTAAGGTCCGAATACAACTAGAGTCAAAAATGTACTAAATACGGTCTAATAAAATCGAGAGGGAGAAAAGCAGTGCTTCGAACGTCGGACAGCTACCTTGCTAAACTCCGTTGACTCTGCCTCTGAGCAACCAATACCCGCTACCGGGTTCAGAAATACCTGAATCTGCACACAAGGTGCAGGGAGTAAAGTGAGTACTTCCAACTCAGTGAGTTATAAAAATAAATGAAGACTGAGTAATATAAAGCCACGTAAAGCACAACATTAAGCTACAAGAGCCATAACAAATCGGTTGATATAATTAAGCAGTGAAATCTCATAAACCTCTCTTAAACAGTTAAACAATATACAGGAAAACAACTAATAAGTAAACACATAATAACTGCCCCTCGGGCACAATAACAATAGAATCAGCCCCTCGGACAATGTCACAGAACAATACCAGCCCCTCGGGCTATATCTCAGATCACAATGGGTACCCGCGCTCACTGGGGGTGTACAGACTCCGGGAGGGGCCCCTTACGGCCCAAGCGCATAATCAAGCCATCTCGTGGCATCATAAACGGGCTCTCGGCCTCATATCAATCTCAAGCCACTTCGTGGCGTACAATCTCAGGCCCTCAGCCTCATTATCATAATCAATGTATCACTGCTGCGGCGTGCAGCCCGACCCAAATGTATCCTCACAATACAGGCCCTCGGCCTTACTCAGTCAGAATCTCATAAGCCGCTCGGGCCACAGTAAAATATGAAGCTCAGCTCAAATACCTTTGAAAATATCATTTAATGTGGTTAAAACAGAATAATACAGCTGAGTCTTTAAAATAGTAAAATATAGTATGACTGAGCACCAGTATGAAATCAATCAGTGAGGAAAATATCATTTAAAAATCCCCTAAGGGTTCAAACAGCTGGCACGAAGCCCACATATGGCATTTAGCCCAAAATATAATAATATTAAACAATTAACTATCAAATACGCAGTAAAATAATCATTTGGGATGGACTAAGTCACAATCCCCAACGGTGCTCTACCCCACGCTCGTCATCTAGTGTGTAAGTCACCTCAACATAGCCGTACGCTGTGAAATTCCGGGGTTTCATACCCTCAGGACAGCATTTAAAATTATTACTCACCTCGAACTAGCCCGAAAAGCTACTCTGCAAGCCGCTTGCCTCTCGAATCAAATTCCGAGTGCTCCAAATCTACCAAGTTCAAATTTTTATCATCAAATTATGCTAAAGAATGAATTCCAATTGAAAAATATCGAATTTAAGCACAAAATTCGAAATCAGTCAAAACCCGTCCCCCGGGCCCGCATCCCGGAACTGGATAAACTTTATACCAAAATGTTCTTCATCATCTCACGAGTCCGTACATATAAAAAAACTCGAAAATCGGAGTTCGTTTGCCCCCTCAAATCATCCCTAGAATGTCTCATAATCTCAAGCCCTAAGTCCACCTTTTTCTACTGATTTTCATGAATTAAACACTGATATTTTGTTCCTTAATCACAAATAATCTAGTTTTAGGGTCCAAAATCCTTACCTCAATGAAGAACAATGATTTCCTCTCTTCAAAATCGCCTCAAGGCTCTTTTCCCGTTCAAAAATGGTGTAAAAGGGTTCCAAGTTGCGGAATAGCCTTTTTAAAACATTCTGCCCAGCTATTAAATTTCCTTCATCACGATCGCGGAACAACCTTCGCGATCGCAAAGCAAAATTCCTCAGCTCCCAAAATTTACTCTATGCGAACGCGTGAAATACCATGCAAACACGATGCTCAAGCATCTGACCCTACGCGATCGCGGACTGGCCATCGCGTTCGCGATGAACAACTTCCATCCAAGACCCCTGGTCCACTTAACTCTACGCGAACGCGACCTTCACTATGCGTTCGCGATCAACAACTTCCTCACCTCTATGCGATCGCGACCCAACTTCCGCAAATGCGAAGAACAACTGGACTTCCCCCTCAAAACCTTCTACGCGATCGCGAAGAGGAATTCTCTGCAACAGCTGAACCTGCAAATTCTGCAACATCTCCAAGGCATGAAATGGTCCGGTTGACCTCCCGAAACTCACCCGAGGCCCCCGGGGCCTCAACTAAAGGCATAAACATATCTTAAAGCGTTATTTAAACTTGTACCAATCTTCAAAACGGTTCAAACAACATCAAATCAACCAAAACACATCGGATTCAAGCCTAAGTTTCTAAAATCTTCCGAACTCCGCTTTTGATCAAAAACCCAACCAAAACCACGTCCGAATGACCTGAAATTTTGCACACACATCCCAAATGACAGAACGAAGCTATTGCAACTCTCGGAATTCCATTCCGACCCTTATATCAAAATCTCACCTATCAACTGGAAAACGCCAAAACTTACATTCGCCAATTCAAGCCTAATCCTTCCACGGACTTCCAAAATGCATTCCGATCACGCTCCCAAGTCCCAAATCACCTAACGCAGCTAACCAAATCATAAAAATTTCGATCCGAGATCATATACAAACAAGTCAAATCTTGGTCAGACCTTTCAAATTTAAGCTTCAAACTGAGAACTGTTCTTCCAAATTCATTCCGATTACCCTGAAAACCAAAACCAACAATTTACATGAGTCACAATATATCACACGGGGCAAGTCATGCCCGGAAACTGACGAGCAAAGTGTAAAAGCTCAAAACGACCGGTCGGGTCGTTACAACTACATAAGCTACAAAAGCATTAGTTCGAAAGATCAAGTTGTATGCAGCGGTACTCTTGGAGCTCTTGGAATTTCTGGTGTACTCTTGGCTACTGCTGGAGGTATTGGATGGTATGCTTTAGATTTTTTGATGGTATTGTACTACTTCTAGTATTCAATATCTCTATGCATCTATGTTTTCTTCTATTTTAAAATTCTTGAGACATTTCTTGTGGGGATTATGGTCTACCGCACCTGAAGTTGTTAATCGGTCATTGAGTCATTTGCAC